AGAGAGAGAGAGAGAGAGAGAGAGAGAGAGAGAGAGAGAGAGAGAGAGAGAGAGCTGTGTATAGTGAAGTCAGAAACAATATGTACAAAGGGACAGTGAGGAGAGGGGCAAAAACGTAAGTGATGGGAGAAGGAAATGCTGTGAGGGAGGACCATGCCTAATCCTGCGGGTATATACAGACTGATTTGCTAGCAAACATCCTATAGGCAGTCCCACCAAACAATATCCATCTACACTTCTCTAGAACCTACCTCTGGCATCACTTCGGCTTTTCCCAAGCAGAGAACCCGTGGTCCTCGGAGAACTTCACTTCCACCCTCACAGCAGGGAAACTGTTGCGTAGAAAGGCAGATAAGGCCTCGGCATTATGTATTAATGGCAGATTAACATACCATCTGACAGTTATGCTCCTTATCTTCGGCAATATGAACGGGGCCCTCCACCACAACAATTCACATTCCTTCGGATGGCTGAGCATCACTTGCGTCAAGCTGTCTGCAATGCTTGCAAAAGCGACCGAATGAAAAATCACAGATTCCATTGTGCGAAGACTTTTCAAAAGGTCATGCAGGCAAATGGCTTCTCTCCTGGGACCGCATGCCAGCAAAACACCCTTCAACTTGACAGCACCAATCTCCAAGACCTTTAGGCTATTGCCAAACCGATCAAGGAATCCCTTCAGCCTCTGCCAAGAGACCCATGGATTGACATTATCCACAACGCTTAACACTTTAAGCACCTCCACGGTCCTCGCGTCGCCGAATTGCACATCCATGTCTGAAGCCATGAAGAGGGTCAGCTGGCGGAGTTGTGAACCACCCACGATAATCACCTCGTCCACCCCTCCCACCTCCAGGTGCATCAAGCGTGGGCAACTGAATCGTATAGACCCAGGCCTCTTCACGACGTGACTTCGGTGTGTAACGTACACATTTTCGAGAGTCAATGAGGCAATTGTTAACACGGCACCATCACACTGAACGAAATCCAATTTCAGCTCTTTCAGACTTGGAGTCAACATGAGAAGATCAGCAATCTGGTCTGTTGACGTATGAACCCAGCCCAAATTGAGGTAAAGAAGTTTCTTCAGGGGTGGGTACATGTGTATCGGCACTTTACGAATGTTTGACGACCAGATGTTGAGTGAGAGGTACTGGAGACGAAAGCAGAGTGTAAATATGGGCTTTAAGATGGGCTCCACATTTCCAGCCCAGGACTTGAAAGTGGCCGACAAGGACTCGAGTGACGTATGTGCATGCTTCAGCCATGTTGGCCACATCCAGCGATGGAAAGGCGAGGGCTCAAGCTCAAGTGCTCGCAATCCTGTGGTATGAAGAATGATTCCGGTGACAACTTGTTCATCATAGCATTCAAAGAATCGTTGCCCACACCGAAGAGTCTTCAACTGCTGGACAGTGAATGCAAGCACAAACGCAGACACACACACACACACACACACACACACACACACACACACACACACACACACACACACACACACACACACA